TTAGAATTTAAGAAAATTAAAACAACCACGGACTTTTGTCAAAATATTCAAAATTTCATAAAAAATAAATCTTTTCATTGCCAAATTTAATACAAATTATTTTATAATAATAGTAATTGACAGTATAAATAACAGATAACAATACATAAAAGGCCATACAAAAATTGAAAAAAATGATTTCATGAAAATTATAAAATTTATTCTATCTTCAACATTTTTCACATTAATAATATAACATATAAACAAATTTATGGAACCCCCATGGGCTCTCCTCTGTATTCGATGATTGCAGATATTGTCATGCAAGATTTAGAGACAACAATATTCAACACGCTTAACATAAATGCGACTTTCTATTACCGATACGTAGATGATATTTTAATGTGTATTCCGGAAGATCAAGTCACATGCATTTTTAATAGTTTTAACGAATATCATGATAGGTTGAAATTTACAATGGAACGAGAGGAGAATCGGTGTATAAATTTTCTAGATATATCAATCATAATCAAGAAAAATATGATACTTATTGATTGATTTCAAAAGAAGACATTCTCAGGAAGAACACTTTCCTTTTATTCCAGCCATCCAATGTGCCATAAAATAAGTATTATATATAATTTAGTTGATCGGGCCCTATTACTGTCACATCCTATGTATCATAGCAAAAATTTAATATTAATTATTGACATTTTATTAAACAACGGTTATCCTCTCAGACTCATTTTTAATGAAATCAATTGAAGATTAAAATTTCTACTTACGAATAAATTAAATTCAGATAAAACTTATATTACAAACAAATATGATAACAATAACAATAATAATAATAAGAAATATATGGCTATACTGTATATAGAAAGAATATCAGAGCTAATAGCATTAAAGCTTAGAAAGTCTAATGTAATATTAGGTTATAGATGTTTAAAAATCTAAATGGTATTATAAAGGCACAAAAAGACATTGTCAATCGTCAGAATAATGCGGGCATAGTTTATTAAATTAGTTGTAACAATTGTGATGCGACATATATTGGGCAAACAAAACGGCAATTATGTACTAGATTAAAGGAACATAAAAATAATATAAAACTAGATTCAGCGAGACATTCAGTTGTATCGGAGCATATATTGAATACTACCCATACTTTCAATTGGGAAGATACGAGAATTATTGACCGGGGAAAAAATTATCATAAAAGATTGATATCTGAAATGTTATATATTAAAGAAGAAAAAAATAGCATCAATTTACAAAAAGACACGGAACATCTTGACATTGCCTATTTTGATTTATTAAAAAAGTTGTCGATGTCATCCTAATATAATAATAAACTTATAACCTTGCGGATTATAGCAATAGATTGATTAGACTCGTTTATCAGTTGGAACTTCCTTCGGTACTTGTTAACAATGTTTAAAATAAGTTTTATCAGTTTGACACACAAGTAAGTGGACCACTATTAATTTATATTTAGTGCAGTCATAAGGTTTTTTAACAATGGACCATATAAAGCATAATTATATATAAATATAAAAAAATTTTTTGTATAGCTCAAAATTAACACTATTTAAATATGGTACCATGGAAAGAGCTTGTGACGGGGTAATAACTGACAGCTTAAGGAATCCTGATAATCGTGTTCTTTGCGTTTTAACAGAATGAGATCCGAATTATTCAGCAATGTATTTAAATCACACGTAGTGGTAACCAGATCATAGTCTTTGCGTTGTTTGATTGTGCATAAGAATGCGTTTCGAATTAATTTCATGTCTTTCCAACTATTATAGATTTCGAACATTATTATTCTTTACGAAATTATGTACCGAGGAAGACTGTCGTAACAGTCGAAACGTATACGTTTTATTTATTTTATTTTATGTCAATAAATTAATTATTTTTTACATCTAAATAATTTGCTCGTTTTTAAGTTGGCCTGTTTATGTATGTTCTTTTTTATTATACTAATAGTCTATTTATAAAAAAAAAATTATTCCGATATCTTACTAAAATTTGTAGAAGTTAGAGTAACCACGAACATTTTTGAAAAATTAAAATTGCATTAAAATTAAAATTACAGCATGAATTTTTATGGATAATAAATAAAAATGCTGTACTACTTTACTTGTATCTCAAATTGGGACATTGTAAGTCGAACAGTTTTCGAGATATTTTAATTTAAAAAAATAGATGGGCATATTCAAACACACATACATACATACACAATACACACACTTATATATACATTAGGACATTTTTTAAATGTAATTTTTCCTTGATTTAAAACATTCTGAATACATTGGCGTATTAATCTAAAAATATATTCTTTCACAAAAGCAATGCTTCCTCTATGAAAAAGCAAAACTTTTTAATTATTTCCATTATCAAATCTCGACAAACCGTAATACCGACAAATCAAAATCCCGATAAACCGTATTTCCGACAAACCAAAATTCCGACAAACCATATTCCCAACAAATCAAAATCCCGACAAACCGAATTTCCGACAAATCGTATTCCCGACAAACTAAAATCCCGACAAATCGTATTTCCGACAAACTGAAATACTGACAAACCGTATTCATCCCGACAAACCGAAATCCCAACAAATCGTATTTTTGACAAACTGAAATACCGACAAATCGTATTCATTTCGACAAAAAACCGTATTTCCGACAAACTGAAATCCTGACAAAGCGTATTCCCGACAAACCGAAATCCTGACAAACAGGTTTAATTAATTTTAAAGTTTGTATATAAATTATTCTATTACTTTATTTTTATTTTATTTTTTAAAACTTTATTTTACTTTTAATAATTCATAAATTATGTCAATAAAACAAAATCACCCCGTTATCTATTAATTCTTTATATCTTCTTTATATCTCTTTCCATTATCTATTCTTTGCATTTTCTTTAGTTTTAAAATAAAATATTTGAAAGATGTTAATTTTAATAATATTTAAACATTTAATATATATGGAACATTCCATACCAAGTGGGTCATTTTTATTATTTCAAAAAAGCGACATTTTATTTTTTATTTTTAAAAGCTAAATTTTATCCTTAGCATTTATACTCTTACTTACAATTAGTAAGAGTTACATAATGATTTTATAGTTTAAAAATCACAACTTATCTATTCTATCTCGATATCAAATGTGTGCTTAACAATATATAATAAAACTAAAATCGTTAAATTGATTTACCATTTTGAATTTTAAACACCGAAATTCAAATTCCGACTAAAAACTCGTTGAGTTATATGCAATTTATGCGTGCAAAGCCCAAATCCTTCATATGGAATTAAGCACATAACTGACATATCAAGATAGAATGAGATGCCATTTCCAAACCATAAAAAATAAAAGATTTTAATGTAGGGATGTTAAGAATAAAATTAAACTGTAAAAAATGGAAATAAAAAAGTCGATTTTTTCAATAAAGAGGGCTCACTTGACATGGAATGCTCAATATATGTACATATAATATGTATATTAAACAATATTATTGCCTAATATTAATATGCATGAAATATTAATATGCATTTTATTTGTTTCTTCTTTTTTCTTCACCTCCCATTTTCTCTCTCTTTCTTAATCTCCTTTTTTCCTATTCTTCGTTATCTCTAATTTTAAAGTTTCTTCTTCTTCTCTTCTCTCTTTCCTTTTTTCTATTTCCTTTTCTTTCTATTATTAATATTATATATATTATATATTATTTATATAATATTGTATATACTATATTTAATGTGTATATATATGTATATTATTATATAATATATTATATATATTACCTCTTATTTCTTAACCTTTGTTCTTTGCATTAATCCCACTCACGATATGTCACGAGATGTCATCGAACTGTCACCGAACTTTCAACGATTACGTCCACATATCTCTCTCTCTCTCTCTCTCTCTCTCTCTCTCTCACACACGAAAGCATCGACCACTAATCACATACGCGGAAAAGGGCAACAATACAAGCGATACTAAACACACATTTCATGCGTATCATGACTTTTCATAAAGAAAAGAAGGATTAAAGAAGGAATTGGATACATTTCAACTATATTTTAAAGTACGTTTTATAAAATAAAATCATTCATTTATATGTATAGTAAATCGAAAATATGGGCAGAAAAGATTATACATAGAAAATTTCACATGAATTTGCAACTTTTGTCACGCAGAGTGAGGTTTAACACCTTTATATTTGCAAGACCTAAAGTTGCAAATGCAAATTGAATATTTCAAATATAGATTTCGTTTGACATTGAAAGCACCGGACAATGAGGGTGGATCTTGTTTCGTAAAAGTTGCGAATCTATGTTAAATTTTTTATATATAAACTGTTTCCGCCCATGCTTTCGCTTTACTATACGTAAATAGATAAATTAATTTTATAAAATGTACGTGTGGTGTATGAAAATTGCAGATAATCGAAAATTTTTTATTAATAACTTTTTAATAAATATTATTAGCGATGGCTAAAACTTTTTTCATGTTACTCAAGACAATTTATGTCAATGTCAAGGTGATAAAAATGATCTGTGTAAAGATAAATATTTACCCTTTTGAATATTTAGGAACCAATCCACGATGACAGGACCTAGCGTGCTCATATCTCAACAAGAATAAAGTTACATAAAAAATAATAAAAATATTATAATAAACTAAATTTGCAATTAAATTTTAAGCAAATGTAACAAAATTTAGATTATCTATCGATTTTTTTCAATTGCATACATAAGAATTATTGGTTTATACAATATATCCATATTTTATATTTCTTATGAACTTGATAGATCTGTGATTAATCAAACCAAACATTTCTATCATTGTTTTTTTTAACAAATTTTATACAATTTTAAATATATTCTTTTATTTTATGACTTAATTCTATAACTTGATTATGTACCCATAAAAAAAGTTGAAAAGTTGAAAAGTTCTTTTTGCTAAAATGTTTTACATTGATGTCACGAATAAAGATTGACTTACATGTGCAATTTTATCTCCATTACTCTTCATTTTGATCCATATTAATTCTGAAAGGCTGTTATACTTAGTTACATAAGGCGACATTTTTCCTTTATAAATATTATTTTGCACAGTAAAATCCTAAAATTGATGAATGAGTTTGTTACTTTAAATAACAGTTATAATTTTGCGTGTCAATAAAATTGCAATACATCTTTAATTTGTGTGTTTTACATCCTATTAACGGTCTCTTTTATTTAAACATTATATAAAATATTATATAAAAATTATATTAAAAAATTATTCATAATATTTGCGCGACTATTTTTGTACTTACTCTCAAATTATTTGTAGCCATCTCTCCAAAGATATACAAATTTTATATCCCAAATATAAAGTGAAAAATATGATTATAAACCGACGTAGTAATTTGGCGATATACACAATCACAAATAATTGTATTCAATTGTTCTATGATCTTGTTCTATTTTATCGTCTTATTTTACTTAACTGTAAAAACTGATTATTAATATAATATAAATATATAAGATAAATAGTTTTTATGAGTAAAATTACGTTATTGATTACATTTAAGTATATTTTTAAAAATATAGCTGAGAAAAGAGTATGCCTAATAGTACCGTTTGTTAAATCGAATTTCTACTGTATTTCTAGTTTTGAAACTTTCGCGGTCTTTGGAATCATCAATGCAAAAGTTTCCGGATGGATACCGCATGGTTGAACAGCGTAATGCCGACGTTTCGCAAACGTTGCAGTTTGCATCTTCAGAGCTGAGAGCTCCGATATTGAGCCTTCTTGGGTTGTGGTCCTTATATATATTATGAGAGATCTTTCATCTACGGAAAAGTATTCCGTTAATAACTGCGACAAAGGTTATCAAAGAAACCCTATTTGGCACACTGCCCTTAATATACACTCACACCACTAACCGGCGTCATAACGGAATACTTTTCCGTGGATGAAAGACCTCCCATAATATATATAAGGATCACAACCCAAGAAGTTTCAATATCAGAGCTCTCAGCCCTGAAGATGCAAACTGCAACGTTTGCGAAACATCGGCATTACGCTGTTCAACCACGCGGCATCCATCCGGAAACCTTTTGCATTGATGATTCTACTGTATTTCTTCAACACAGTTTAAATATTTTAATATATTAACACTATTGTATTATTTTTGTTTTTTTAAGGCTTCTATTGATGAGCGTTAATAAGTTTATTTTGTATTATTTTTATGTATTGTGTTCGGCACTCAGTGTTTAAGCTATCATATTGAGAAAGATAAGCAATTACTTATTATTAAAATATTTTTTCATCTTATTTAATACTGCATATGAAAACAATGCAAAATATGTTTCAAGATTAAAATATTTTTGAAAAGGTCAGTATTTATTATTGTAGCTATATATATATATATATATATATATATATACAGGGTGACCCATTTTAACTTAGGCAGCCAAATAACTCGAAAAATAAGCACACTACAAAAAAATGTTTACAATCAAAATTTCGTCATTTCGAGGGGGACGTACAATGACGTTAACATCAGCCCCCTCACCTCTCTCCCTGGGCGGTGAGGGGGGGCAAGTTTGAAATCTTAAATGGGAACCCCTATTTTTTATTGCATATTCGGAATCTTTGGCTAAAAACACATACAATTTGTCTGAAACATTTTTCTCGATTCATGATAGATGGCGCTGTAATCGACAAAATTCAATTTCTTCGATTTTTCTTACTGAGAACCCATGCTTCTGCAATACATTAACAATAAAAATACCACGTTTTCATTGTTAATACTCGAAATTAGTCTTAAAACAAACTTTTCATTATTTTATATTACTCATTAATTACTTCTCAAGAAATTGCTTTTAGCGTAACTTGCCCTTTAGGCAACTTGAATGGTCCAAAGTACCGCACAAGAAACGCCCAATTACCTGCGGCGAGTGCACACTTAGTGCGCACTCCATTTAGTGCCAAAGTCACAAGTGTTTATGTATTTTTTTAACATTTGTACTCTGATAAAATTCTGGTAAAATGGCAAATTATACTCCTACAGAAGTAGTCGATATTTTTATAACCTTTGGTGAATGTGGTAGAAATTACAGACTTACTGCCCGTACTTATGCGGAGCGATTCCCAAATCGCCGCCATCCTACTGATCAACAAATTATAAACATTGAAAGAAGATCTCGTAATAATCCACTTCATCGCGAAAGGCGAAGGAATAGACTTCATAATAATAATGACCCTAGATTGCTCGCAGTTTTGGCTATGGTTCATCAAAATCCCCATATTAGTACCCGTCAAATAGAACGAGAACTGAGAATCCCTCAAACTACGGCACATAGATTGTTACGATCAGTCAATTACCATCCGTATCATATTACTCTGGTACAGGAATTAAGTGAGGCCGACTACGTACTCAGAGTACAATTTTGTAGATGGGCTCTTGAGATGTTAGATCAGAATCCAGATTTTTTTAGTAATATTTGTTTCAGTGATGAAGCAACATTCATCAGCAATGGTAGTCTCAATAGGCATAATTGCCACTATTGGTCACCAGAAAATCCACATTGGTATCGTGAGGTGCTTAATCAACATCGTTGGAGTTTGTATGTATGGGTAGGCATTTGCAATGGCCAAGTTATTGGACCTCATTTTTTTGAACGTCCAATTAATAGTCCAATGTATTTAGACTTCCTCGAAAATGATTTGCCAGCATACCTAGAGAATGTTCCCCTTGCAGTTAGACTAAATTTATGGTATCAACAAGATGATGCTCTTGCTGATTATGCTCGTCTTGTACGGATGTTTTTGAATCAAAGGTTCCCAAATCGGTGGATAGGGCGGGGTGGACCAGTTCTGTGGCCTCCGAGATCACCGGATTTGAACCCTCTTGATTTCTTTTTATGGGGATACGTTAAAGATGCAGTGTATAGTGAAGCTCCAACGACAAGATTGAATATGATGGAAAGAATAAGAAGAGCTTGTGAAGCTATAACTCCTTTAATGCTAGAAAATGTACAACGTAACTTTCGCTGTCGATTACTGTTATTCTTAGAAAATAATGGTGCACACTTTGAGCATCTCCTTCATGCGGAGAGAGCTGATAACAATGCAATCTTGCCTTAACTGGTTGGGTCACCACTCGACCTTGCCTTAACTGGTTGGATCACCACACGACCTTGCCTTCACTGGCTGGGTCACTACTTGACCTTGCCTTAACTGGTTGTGTCACCACTCGACCTTGCCTTTACTGGCTGGGTTACTACTTGACCTTGCCTTAACTGGTTGGGTCACCACTCGACCTTGCCTTCACTGGCTGGGTCACTACTTGACCTTGCCTTAACTGGTTGTGTCACCACTCGACCTTGCCTTTACTGGCTGGGTCACTACTCGACCTTGCCTTAACTGGTTGGGTTACCACTCGACCTTGCCTTTACTGGCTGGGTCACTACTTGACCTTGCCTTAACTGGTTGTGTCACCACTCGACCTTGCCTTTACTGGCTGGGTCACTACTTGACTTTGCCTTAACTGGTTGGGTTACCACTCGACCTTGCCTTCACTGGCTGGGTTACCACACGTTCAAGCACCCCCAATTGTGAGAGGCAAGGGGACTCACGTTAATCAAGCACCCCGAAGGGAATAGAAAACTGCTACGTCCACGTTGTTGTTCCTGGGTTACGCTAAAAGCAGTTTCTTGAGAAGTAATTAATGAGTAATAAAAAATAATGAAAAGTTTGTTTTAAGACTAATTTCGAGTATTAACAATGAAAACGTGGTATTTTTATTGTTAATGTATTGCAGAATCGTAAGCATGGGTTCTCAGTAAGAGAAATCAAAGAAATTGAATTTCGTCGATTACAGCGCCATCTATCATGAATCGAAAAAAATGTTTTAGACAAATTGTATGTGTTTTTAGCCAAAGATTCCGAATATGCAATAAAAAATAGAGGTTTCCATTTAAGATTTCAAACTTGCCCCCCCTCACCGCCCAGGGGGAGAGGTGAGGAGGCTGATGTTAACGTCATTGTACGTCCCCCTCGAAATGACGAAATTTTAATTGTAAACATTTTTTTGTAGTGTGCTTATTTTTCGAGTTATTTGGCTGCCTAAGTTAAAATGGGTCACCCTGTATATATATATAAATGCGCGTATACAGTCTCTTTTATTTCGCGTGACTCGTAAAGAGATTTTCAGTCGAATTTAATATACAATGAGAAACACGTCTTTTCTCCTTCGCTCGACTCGGTCTTCTGTCTCGTCGATTTTCGAATCATCGCTATTACCTTTCGGTTAGCGTACGCGTCGATTATTCGAGAAGGTCACGGCAATTGTTACCTATTTTATTTTTCGCTCGCAATACAAAGGTATTGTTTTGATACGGACAAAACAACACATTCGGTAAACAGGAGATATAATAAAATTTCGGCAAATGACCCGACTCGAGACCCACACATATGACGTGACATAAACACGTCGGTCAAATATACAAATTTTATAATAATGAAATTTATTCGATTTCTATATTATATTGACAAAATATTTATTTATATTTTTGTAATACAGAAAATATTTTTAATTAATTTTTTGAAAAAAGATTAATAAATGTGACATTTTTATAGATATATGTATTTTGTTGTAAACTGAGTACTTATGTAGAGAATAAAACTTTATTTTTGTTACAATTTTCTAATTTTATTGTTAGAGGTATAATTTAAAGCTCATGAATTTAGCTAACTGGTATTGCAAACCGTACCACTTACTACTATTTTTTAATTTTTAATTTACAATATAAAACAATGATCAATTGTGTTTATGTTTAACGTATTGTTAACAAAGAATTATAATTTCAAATAAATAAAAAAAGAGCATGTTAAAAAAGTACTAAATTTGGCCCCCAAAAATGTAAATAAAAAGAATAGTGGTTTTTTTTGTATATTTTGACCTTCTTAATACGATAAAATATTAAAAAATTAATGGAATTTAAGGAATACTTTGAAAATTGAGCAACAATATGTATTTATTGAAATTCGGATGATGTATGTAGCCAATAATTGAGATTTAATATGCATTAAATGTCTGTTTTGCTATATTTAAGATTTTTTTTTGACAAAAAAGGTTACGTTATCTGAAAATTCTAATCAGGTGTCATGAACGTATTGCTCATGCTTAATGAAATGTATTATTCTTATTTTAATAAATTACTTTTTATAATCATGTTATAAAAAATTAAATCTGAGAATTACTCATATAGAGATGGTGCTTCATATAACGAGTTGTTTCTAGTTTTAACAATCATGACTAAAAAGTAAAATATCGAAATAAAAAATACTGCTAGTAAAAATTGACTTGCATTTTTCCAGCATCCAAAAATTTATAAAAAATGTCTTCTTCTGTTTAAAATAATATAAAAATGTTTCTTGTAAACTAATATTTTTATTATTATTATTAATTATTATTAGATTGTTTCGCGGTTACATAAAATGCCTTTCTTTTCCGCTCTCCTTTAAAAAAGATGCATGGATATGTTCTGTGATAATTTCATATATCATTCGAATTTCTATGAACACCTTATTATGTTGTTGCTCAATTTTGAAGGTGTTCCCTAAACCCCACAATTATTTTCAAAGTTTTATACAGAAATCAAATGAACTCAAAGGAAATCAAAATCTACAAAAAACACTATTCCTTTTTTTACACATTTGGGGGCCAAATTTGGTACGTTTTAACAATCTTCTTTGTCATTCCTCTAATAGTTTTATTGCAATTTTAATATTTATCTTAGAGAGTACGATCCTGCATATTTTTTCCTACTTGTAAAATTTGGTACCACGTATTTTATAGATCCTGTAGATATTTTGTCTTATGCACATGTGTATTTAAAATGTGTATTTATGTGTCAAAAATATCTGAAATAGAATCAAGCACTTACTAATGATATGTTGTATTGTATTACACCAAATGATATAATAATATGAAATACTGAAACATAGAAAAAATATCACGAATTATTAACAGTGTTCTTACTAATGACTTGAGAAGACTGAACTTTATTTATATATATATATATAATAATAATTTATTTATTTATAGGATAATGTTAACTTCTTACTTTTATAATTATTCATACACGAACAAAAAAACTTATTTATTATCAGTAATGCTATATCATGTATGCTAAAACATTGTCTTCACTAGTTCGACTAATGGCTTTGCAAATATAACAATGTCTGCAATTCTACTTAAAAATTATTTTCATGACTTTGAAGTTATGGTAAATAGAAGCATATATTGCCCCTATGTGGAAATTGTGATAAATAGAAATATATTCTCTCTACTTTTATTTGCGCGTGATAAAATAAACATGTGTCGGACAAAAGATAACTGAAGTGACGATAAAACGATATGAGTTTATTTTTAAACACGCAAATCACGAAAAAAAATAAAAATGATTAGAAAAAAGTAAAATGTACTGCTCATTCTGACATTTTTTAAGTCCAGTAGCAAACGCGTTGAAGAATTACATATTTGTTGATATACATATTATATATTGCAAATAATATGATAATTTAAAAAAAATAAAATGTTAACAGATCCTCAATAAAAATTATAAAAGTAATAATCGAATAAAGGGCAACTGAGAAATCAAAGCAGGATGAAAAGTGCCAGATAAACAATTTAGTGACAATTTATCACTTTATTGTAGACGTTTCGGTCCTAGGCATAGGACCATCTACAATACAATGATAATTTTTCCTGCATTTTATGATTTTAATTAATAAAATAAACTTTACTTATCATACGTGCTCTTTAATAAAAAAATTTTTGATATTTATTATTATTATTTATTTTTATAATTACATATATACAATATAGTTTTTCAAATAAAAATATGTGACATTAAAAATCTTCTTTCTCCCCTTTTTTTATATGTAGAGACATTAACCTTATAGAATTCACTAAAAATAATTATAAAAATGATGATAATTATAATTTTATTATAAGCAAGCGAAAGACTCGGATTCTATTCCCGATTCAGCCAACTTTTTTGAACCAATATATTTTTCTCGCATACATCAGCGCATACTGCAGCGGGGGTAAAAGGGGAACTTAGGAATTAATATCTCAAAAGATTTATCCTAAATAAGTCTTAGCAATTACTAAGCAAAATGTCGTGCCTCGTGCACAATTATAAATACAGCAAAAAATTCAATTTTCACAGTCTTCACGCACATACATCCACATTCGGTTTTCATAGCCTTTCTATTTCCAAAGTTATTTAACAATATTGGTAGCCTTACTTTAGTACTTTAATATTATTATAATTTTATTTAATAAAAATATAAATATAAATTTAAAGTATAAGACAGGCAATAAGAGCCAAATCGCGGATGACAGTGCGTTATCCCAACGAAACTAAATTTTTTCATTAGAATTTAAATACCTGTGCACAAGGCACCAAATTTTACTTGGTCACGGCCAAGATTTTAAAATTGGAATAATCTCTACAAGAGATTTAATTCCATACGTCCCTTGTTCCCCCCTAAGGAAATAAATGCTCAGATGGAAGAGCAGTAGCCCGGCAAGCGAAAGGTCTCGGGTTCGATTTCCGATTCAGCGACTTTCGGATCTATATTTTTCTCTCGCATTTATTTCCTTAGGGGGGAACAAGGGACGTATGGAATTAAATCTCTTGTAGAGATTATTCCAATTTTAAAATTTTGGCCGTGACCAAGTAAAATTTGGTGCCTTGTGCACAGGTATTTAAATTCTAACAAAAAAATTTAGTTTCGTTGGGATAACGCACTGTCATCCGCGATTTGGCTCTTATTGCCTGTCTTATACTTTAAATTTATATTTATATTACAGAGCCTTGTTAAACTCTTAATTAATAAAAATATAGTTTTATTATTATTTTATTTTCTCAGGAGTTGGTAAATATTCAATCACATATCATTATTTTTTCCTAATTGTATAATATTTCTAAGCATATTGCATGACCACTGTAAATATCGAGCTCTTTTATTTAAATTACAAAAGCATTGTATATATACATATATATGTTAGAAATTATTTATTATACATTTCTAAATGAGAATCGATTAAATAATTGTTATTAAAATATTTTACTTAACAATAATTGTTATTGATAACATTGACTAGGTTTAAGAGCGATGTAAAAGAATCACTTATTTCAAATGTCAATCACGTATTACACAGCTTTTTTTAAATCATCTATTTCTTATCTTTATTTTTTTTAATTGCTACATCTCATTGTTCTTTTTATTGTAGTAGTTGGTCGCTAAACCATGACATTGTATCATTAATATGCATGCTAAACACATCTCGTAACAATTGGAGTTTGACATATGTAAATGTGTGACGGAATTCAATATAAGGCAGGCAATCTTTTTTATTTTTAATTTTTATTTTTATAGAAAGTGAAACTTTACCAATTTCTGTCATTATCAACTTTTTTTATGATTTTTTGTTCTACATTTTTTCGCGCATTTGTACACATTCAGAAGATCATATTTAATTTCATATGGAATGCATTTGCTGTCATTCAACCTAATGCTATTGCCAAGAGGAGAATAAGCAAGTAAATTTCTACTATATACATAATTTTAATTCGCCGAATTTCCATTATGTATATACAAATTCGCCAAATTATTATGTAAATAATTTTGATTTGCCAAATTTTTATTATGTACATAATTAAAATTCCCGAATTTCTATTATGTACATAATTTTAATTCATTGAATTTCTATGATATATATCATTTTTTTATAATTTAATTTTATTTTATATATAATTTTAAATCATCGAATTTTTATCATGTGCATAATTTTAAATCATCGAAATTCTATCATGTACATGATCTTAATTCATCGAATTTCTATTATATACATGATTTTAATTCATCGAATTTCTATTACATAATATTAATTCCCGAATTTATGTTATGTACATAATTTTAATTCACCGAATTTCTATTACGTACATAATTTTAATTCACCGAATTTCTATTACGTACATAATTTTAACTCCTGTATTTTATTATATACATAAAAAAATTTGGCAAATTAAAATTTTGTACATAATAAAAATTCGATAAATAGAAATTCGGGAATTAAAATTATGTACATAATAAAAATTCGGGAATTATAATTATGTACATAATAAAAATTTGATGACTTAAAATTATGTATATAATAAAAACAGAGAATTAAAATTATGTACATAATAGAAATTCAGGGAATTAAAATTATGTACATAATAGAAATTCGGCTAATTGAAATTATGTATATGTATAATAGAAATTTGTGAATTAGAGTTATGTTAATAATTGAAATTCGGCGTATTAAAATTATCTACATTTGCGGAGTAAAGTTTTTTGGCACGCGCGAAGCGCGCACTTGTGTTGTCTAGTACATAATAAAAATTCGGCCAACTAAAATTATGTAATACACAATAGAAATTCGGAAATTAACATTACGTCCCTTTTTAAGAAAGGCATTCTCCTAAGTATAGTTGCCGCTTTTTTGCGGTACTGATTGTTTATCTCGATTTGCTTTGTTGTTAAATTGAAAGTATCAAGCACCTGTCATCGAAAATTAACAATTTAACAGTTATAAAATAAAGATAAAATCAATACCATGGCGCGCGCAAAGCGCGCACTTGTGTTGTCTAATATAGTTATATAGTTATTGTATTTTTTGTTTTAGTAGCATTAACAAAAATTGTTTGCAATAAAGATTAATATTGAGTCTTATTAATATAATATAGTTTCGCAGTTACTTATTCTGAGTAAGATTTCGAAAATAAGCAGATGCTATGAAAATATTTCTGTTGCCAGCAGTTATTGCACAAGTACAAGAGAAACTTGCATTATCAATAAGTATGTAGCTGCATATTACAAATTGCATACATTTTTTTTACAAATAACTATGCACTTTTTTTACACTAATTGATCTGTCTAATTATTCTATGCATAAAAATTATATATTATTGAAATACAATTATCGAATACTATTTATTTCACGAAATATTTTGCATTTTATAGAAGGTAAAAAGAAATATTTTGATACTTATATTTTACATTATACTATATAAAATTACTTTATAATTTATAAAAATTAAGCGAGAATTTGTAAAAAAACTAATAGTGTTATAGGTACATCTAATTTAATATATTTATAAATTTTGCACTATTGTCCAGAAGAGACACGAAATTATAATTATGTAATTATAATAATTACTATTATATATGTATACAATTAAAAAGTATAATTAAATAAATGAATAGATAAAAGTTCCGTAAGGTTCCGTAAAAAGTATAAAAAGAACGGCAGGGAGGAACCAGTGCAGTAATTAGATTGCAAATAGGGGTGTAATGGTAGACCAGTGGGTTAAGTCAATATACCTAAGGTCCCAGGTTCGAATCCAATTCGAGCCAAACACCCCACATGCCTGCCAGGAAAAAGGTGAAGAAGGAGGAGATGGAGAAATGAAGAAAAGGAGGGAGGCAGGTTCAGCTGGAAGGAGAAGGAAAAGGAAGGAGTAGGAGAGGATTTGGAGACAAGGAATAGGGAGGTGGAAGAAGAAAGAAAAAGGGAAGAAGGTGTAAATGGAATAAAGAGATTGTAAAGGTTTGGGAACGCTCCTATCAGAAAAAAGCGCCATATGGAATTGTAATGGGTTGAAAGAAGGTTGTAAAGATTCGGGAACGCTCCTATCAAAAAAAAACGCCGCATTGTAACACATTGTAACATATTGCAACGAGAAGGAGAATGTAAGGGGTTTGGTGGTCCCTTGAAAATGCCGCGGCAACCTCTAGGGAAGTCCGGAATAAACTTGAATTGAATTGAATTAGATTGCAAATATTTATTAAAATATATTGTAAAAAATTAAATCTTTAGATTAATAAAATCGCAAACGTTTCTGTCTTTTCTTTGGATCTTGTTCAGCATAAACAAATAACTAATATAAATATGAAGTTGATCTCTAAGCTTACGATTTCTTGATGTTTCTTAA